TATGCTAATGGGTTTCTGCTGTTGGGTGTGGCCTATTATGCTAATGAGTTCCTGTCGGGCTTTTTCCACACAAAAAAGCCCTGAGCTCAACTAACTCGAATGGCCAAAGTATGAAGATTCTGAGCATCGAGCCAGAAACGCTCCAGGATACGACATCTCTCAGCGCCGGTCCTTGATGCTATCGACCACAGTATCCTATGGAGCTGCCTCTGGGTACTGGAATTGGGGACACTCTGTTACAGCGTCCTGAGTCTTGTCTGAGGGGGTGGTCTCAGGAGATGGTGCTGGGGGATTCCTGCTCTGCCCCCATGGCCCTTGACCTGTGGGGTTCCAAGGGGTTCAATCTTATCCCCCACGAAGCCACTGGGAGAGGTCATCAGGAGGTTTGGGCTCCGGTGTCTCCAGCATGAGGACGGCACCCAGCCCTACCTTTGTTCCCCACCTAATCCCAAGGATGCTGTTGATATGCTGAACCAGTCCTTGGCATCACCAGTGGCCTGGATAAAGGTGGACCAGTCGCAACTTAATCCCGAGAAGACAGAGATTCTCTGCGTCAGCAGAAAGGCAGACCGGAAGAAGACCGGAAGAAGATTTATACCCCGCTCTTCACTACCCAAAGGAGTCTTAAGAGTGGCTTACAATCTCCTTCTCCTCCCCCCAAAAAGATACCCTGTGAGCAATGTTCCCTCTAAGCTGTGGAGTCTTGTGAGCAAAAATTCTACTTTGTGAGCTACTGGCATTAAAGTTGTGAGCGAGCGATTTGGCTACTGCATAGATTAGTTTGCTTTGGAGTCATCCTTCCTGAGCTAAGACAAAGATGTGTGAGCTGGAGGCTAAAAAACTGTGACCTAGCTCACACTAACTCAGCTTAGAGGGAACACTGCCTGTGAGGTAGGTGGGGCTGCGAGAGCTCTTTCGAGGACTGCCCTTGAGAGAACAGCTCTTGAAGAACTTGTGACTGACCTAAGGTCACACCAGCAGCTGCACGTGCAGGAGGGGGGAATCAAACCCGGTTCTCCCAGATTAGAGTCCGCCCCTCTTAACCACAACACCAAACTGGTGCTCACTTCAGATCTCTCCTGTCTTGGATGGGGTTATACTTCCCTGGAAAAGCTAGGTCTGCAGTTTGGGAGGGTTACCTGACATAGCAGTCACCTTCGAAAGCCAGGCGCCTGCGGTGGTCTGGAGTGCTTTTGCCCCACTACGGCTGATGTGTCAGCTGCCTCCGTTCCTAGGTCAGTCAGATTTAGCCACAGTGACCCATGCCTTAGTCACATCTAGACTGGACTACTGCAATGCACTCTACTTGGGGCCAGCCCTGAAGACCATTGGGAAGCAGCAGCGAGTCCAGAATGCTGCAGCTAGACTGCTGGCTGGGGCCAGCTACGGGAAGCAAGTGACCCCGACATTACAGCAATTACACTGGGCGCTGATACATTCCCAAACACAATCTGAGGTGTTGGTTTTGACCTTTAAATCCCTACAGGGCTCGAGACCAGGGTATCTGGAGGACTGTCTTCTCCCAGTTGTTCCTGCTGGGGAATTAAGAACACAGAGAGAGGTCCTCCCGACTGTCCCATCAATCAAAGATGCTCATTTGAGAGCCAGTTTGATGTAGCAGTTAAGAGTGCAGACTCCGATCTGGGAGAACCGGGTTTGATTCCCCACTCCTCCACTTGCAGCTGCTGGATGACCTTGGGCAAGCCAGAGTTCTGATAAGAGCTGTCCTTGAAAAAGAGCAGTTTCTGTCAGAGCTCTCTCAGCCCCACCTACCTCACAGGGTGTCTGTTGTGGGGAGGGGAAGGGAAAGGAGACGGTAAGTCGCTCTGAGACTCCTTCGGGTAGTGAAGGGCGGGGAATAAATCCAATCTCTTCTTCTACACGAGACGGGGCCTTTTCAGTGGCAGCCCCACAGGTAGGGAGCAACCTCCCCAGGGAGGTGCGCCTGACCCCCCCACTGTCGATCCTCAGGAGGCAGCTGAAGACAGTTTCATTTATTTATCGGTCGATCAAATGCGGTCCTCATTGTGGGAAAAAAACTGGTTTTATGCAATCGACATTTTTTGTTTATACTGTATGCAGCCGTGAGCTACATAAGGAAGACCGATTAATAAATATTTAAATATATAAAACAAAAATGGATACACTAGTTGTAAAACGAGTCTGACACGGATAGTCCAAAGGCTAAGAAAGCTGGGCTTATAATTGGTTCTGAGGAAATCTGAGCCATGTGATTGACTTGAACCCCAAACTCCCAGAATGCCCCATTTCGATCCCATGTGATGCAAGCCCAGCCTAACAGCTGGGAGCTCGGGCTGCACTGGGGGTTCAAAGGCATCCAGCCTCCAGGGCTGCCTCTCCCTTGTTGTTGTTGTTCAGTCGCACACTCGAGTCCAACTCTTCGCGACCCCATGGACCAGATCCCGCCAGGCCCTCCTGTCTTCCGCCGTCCTCTGAAGTTGGCTCAGTTTCATGTTCGTTGCATCTATGACACTGTCTAACCATCTCATCCTTTGCCGTCCCCGTCTTCTTTGACCTTCAATCTCCCTACTTTTATTTATTTATAGCCCTCCTTTCCCGCTGAGACTCAAGGCGGATTTACAGCAATCTGACAGCAGGAGATGTCCGACAAACAATGCAACGGGACCAGGATCACAAAAATGCAAACAACAACAACAGCATACAAGATGTGATATGAGATGAACAATGATAAAAAGAATGGAATTACAGAAGTCGAAAGTAATGCAGGAAGAAGAAGAAGAAGAAGAAGAAGAAGAAGAAGAAGAAGAAGAAGAAGAAGAAGAAGAAGAAGAAGAAGAAGAAGAAGA